CTTTCCTCCCGCTGTGATCCTGTGTGAGCTCTGTGTCTTGATTTGCCAACAACATACCTAAAACAAATAGTACCGTACTATGACAGAGAAGCCCATAAAAGTCGTCGCGGCAGTCCACGCCGAGCCGGCCTGCTGCCGGCTCGCACGGCAGCCTTTTCCTCTCGACCAGCCTCAACTTCCGTACAGTCAACATTTTGTCGCTGCGTGCTCGTGGCGAGCTGTGGCGGCGGTCGAAGTTGGACCAGATTCGGTGACGAGCGCCGGACGATAGTACCGCCTCTGTTCGCCCTGTGCATGTCAGGCCAGGCTGCAGCAGGGCACTACCATCGTGCTGCCCTGTTGCAGCCTGACTTTGCCCACTGTGCACAGTCGCCAGAGCACCACCACCGCCCGGCATCGTGTCACGGCGAGCTCCTTCTGCGCCCGCTCGCGAGGCTCTCGAGCTGGTACACTTGGCCATCTGCTGCTCGCGTTCAGCGAGCTCTTCTCCGCACTGATGCCACGGCGCCGTCACCACACACCTTCTGGCCGGCCTGAGCCGCGCGGACTCGCCGGCGGGGGCAACGTGTCGACCTCTCTCTCTGGTGCACCACGGGCCGCGACGGCTGCTGGCAGCAGGCGCGAGGAGGCAGTGTGCCGGCACAGTCGAGCTGGAGCATCGGGTTCTTGATGCTTGTGGGGTCGAGTTTGACCTTATGTGGCATAATATGCAACAATAGTGCTATGCTATCTCCCGGCTTTTTGAGATATGAGCCCTCAAAGTCCAATTATGGTTTACTGTGGTGACCATAGTATACCGTCTGTCCGGTTTGCGTTTCTTCAAACGAAACACTTTAAGGTCTCGACAATCACTAAGCTGCTTATGTGGCACCGCAGAGGCTCCCTTGGGGATGCTTGAGGCCACCCCAACCACTCACGAAGCCTTACGTGGGCGTATTCAAATAGTTAGAGGCTGCGCAGGCCGTCCCGTTCTTGCTGTTTGAAACGCCTGTTGCGCTGGCCGCTGCGCGCGCGCGCTGGCCGCTGCCGGGGCTACTGTCTCACTCTCACGTGCCGCAATATGTGTCACACACGGCGGCTTCTGCCACCTCTCGATTGGTTCTACTTTCTACGCACACCTACCGGGGAAGGGGCGCTTGGGAGCGGGGGCGGGGGCGGGGGCGGGGGCGCGCAGCACGGCTGCGCGGCGCGCGCAACAGAGGGTAGGGTGGGGAAGACGGCGAGGAGGGGGCGGCGGCGGCGGCGGCGGCGGCAGCGCGCGCGCGGCGCGCGCGACGGGGGGGCGGAGCAGCGACCGCTGGCGCGGCCGCTGCTCCGTCTGTGCCAGGGACGCGCGCTCTGCGCCGCTGCAGAGCGCGCGCGTCAGGGCAAGGGGCATGCTTGGCGGCGCGGGACGCGTGGCGGCGGCGGCGAGCACGCTCCGTGAGCGGTGAGGCGGCCGGGCGAGGGCGCGGCGGGTGACGGGTCAAGGGAGCAGCCCACACCCGGCGTCGCTTTTTGAGCGACGCCTGTGGTACGCCTGCGCAGGGGCCGCAGGGCGGTCAGTTGTGGGGCGAGGCGGTGCCGGCCGCGGGCCGGGTGCAAGGCGCCGGCCTCGGCGCCGCCTCGGCGCGCCGCACGGGCGCGGCGAGCCTCTGAGCGGGAGCCGAAGGTTTGCCGCGGTGGGAGGTGGTAGGGAGGGAGGGAGGTGGGGGTGATTTGACTTTGCCGCAGAGGCCGTCCCTAGCTGTGAACAGCAAAACGGGACAGTATCTACTTTTGTGGTTTACCCACATCTACCCTTATAAGTCTCTCGTGTCCGCGCCGACGCTCTTTTAACGTAGAACGTCCCAGCCGAAATCCGCCCGCCGACGATCGATCAGTCCACAATCGTCGGCCCGCAGCGACCCGCAGCGATGGATGCCGCCGCCCCCCCGGCCCCTGCGGCTGACGCGCCGATGCACGACCGGCCTCCGTCGGATGGCTCTCCGGCCTCTCCGGCCGCTGACGCGGCCGCCCATGCTGCTGCCGATCCGGTCCCTCTCACGCTCAGCGATATCCGCACAAGCTACGACAACTTCGAGGTCGCCGGCTTTGGCCAGGTGCAGCAACCACCTGCTTGCCTCCATGTTCACGCTTCGCCCCCCCCTCCCCCCCCGCCCCCCCCTTCTGACGCCGCCGTCTGACCTTAGGTGAGGGGCACGACTACCCGCCTGGAAGGCGCTCTCACCAGCAAGTCACCCAGGCACCAACTCCTGGGCGTTTACGCTTGACTACGAAACCATGCAGTGGATGCAGCTCGATCAAAACGGCGACGCCAACAGCTGGTCCCTGGGCGAGTTCCTTGCGCTCAGGATGAGGTGCGAGCCATGATGCTCGACCCAGCGTGCACCAAGTCGCTCACATTCCGTGAGTTCGTCAACGGGCGACTGCGATCTCGAACTCCGACAACTGGACTGGTGCACCAGCCGCGGAGGACGATGGCTCCCTCGACGACATCCCTTCATCGACGGACGCCTTCACCGCCGCCGGCCCTGGGCCATCCATCGCGGCCTCCGACTGGCTGCCGCAGCTCACACCCTAATCTATCTGCCTTAGGCACGGAGCCAACGGAGCCATCGCGCACGCCCGCAGCATCGCATGCTGCTCCGAGGTCTCCCGCCGAGACCGGCTCGGCGCGGGGTTTGACTGACGTGACTGACTGATGAGTGCTTGCGAGAGAGAGATGTTTAGCAATGCTTGCGATGGATGATCTCCGACACCCAAAACCAAAATGCAAATGCGGAGTGGAGCCCACTTCGCGTGCAGATCCTGCGTCTCTCACTGCCCGAACAGCAGAGGCGGGTACCGCCGCAGGTCCCACACTAGTTAAGCGAGTAAGAATTCTTGTTGGGCTGGAATGCTCGAGGCCAGTGACCGCCGAGCTCTCGCCGCGGGCGGAGGGTCCTACCTCGCCGTCGTCTGCGCCTCGCAGGCGGTTCAGCTCGTCGCCGGGATCACGACGGCCACTCCACTCCTCCCGACGCTGCTCGGGGCCTGCACCGTCGGCGGCGCTTCTGCCGTCGCTCTGCGTGCCGCAGACGCTGCTGGCGGCAGACGCCGCTCGCTTGCGTCGACATACGCGTGCCACAGCGGCGGGTCGGCCGACGCGACGGCGGCGCTGGCGGGCGCGGCCCTGCACGTGTGCTTTGGCTTGGGGGTGCGATTCTGGGCTCTCAGCCCGTCGAGCCTCGCCGCCGAGGGCGCATTCGCCTGGGCGGCCGCCTCGCTGCCGGCGGGCGAGGGATACGCCTCCACGCCCCAGAGGGAGGCGCTGCAGCGATTTGGCCGCCTCGCCGGCTGCCACTCTTGCGGCACCCGCTTTGCGGCGCAGTATGTCGGCGACCACGTGCCTCCTCTCTCGGTGGCGAGCCGCCGCCCGCGGCTGCTCAGCGCGGTGCTCGGCCGGCCGGCCTTCCGCTTCTACCCGCAGTGTCGGGCCTGCTCCGCCCAGCAGGCGGCGACGATGAACCGCCGCGCGCGTGACCTGCCCTCCACCCTCGCGAGCCGTGCCGTCTACCACCTGCCGTCGCCGCTGCGCGCCACGAGCTACGTGGGCGTGGCGGTCGTCGCCCTCGCGCTCGCCGCCGAGGCCGACGTCGGTCCCGCCCGCAGAGCTCTCTCCATCGCGTCGGGCGCCGCGGACGCCACTCGGCAAAAGCTTCTGTCGGCCCGTGCGACCTGCGTTCGCGCTTGTGTGGCCGCCCGCAGCGCGCACCTTCACGCTGAGCCTGCCTTTCATTTCTGCGCAAGCGGATCCTGGCGGATTTTGAGTAAATAAAAAGTAGAATACTCAGCCCGTCCCAAATTCAGCAGGGTCGGGCGCCGGAGGAGGCGCTTCTACACAGTGCGGCTCACCGCGGACAAACGTGTCTGCACAGCGTGCAGGCCCGGGGTCACATTTTCGTCGTACTCCTCGCCCTCCTCCTCACCGTCGCCCCGGCGCCGCTTGGAGGTCGATCCTGAGCCCGCGAGCTGCGCTCGGAGCAGCGCGACCGCCCGGGCGGCCTGCTCCGCCGTGAGGCCGACGTCGCTGCGGGTCTGCACGACGTGCCCCTCAAACATCGCCCTCCGTTCGGCACACTCCTCTCCGTCGAGGAGCTCCTCGTCGTCGAGGCACACCCACGCAGCGGGAGCCTGGCCCTGCGCGCGCCTCCGCTCTAGCCAGCTCGCGATCTCGTGCTGCCGTGCGCCAAAGTGTTCGGTGGAGGTGGCGTCTACGAAGGCGGTCACGGCGCCGAGCGGGCTGCCATCGTTGGCCGCGCCGAACCGGCGGAACTCGTCGAGGATGTCGGCGACAAAGGCCGGCTGCGCCCGCCAGGTGGAGGAGAGGACGAGCCGCGGCTCGCAGGGCAGCGGGGCGGCGAGCAGCGCTGACAGCGCGGACAGGCACGCGTCGTCGAAGAGGGCGGGCGGCTCGACTGCAGCCGCATTCGACCCGAACGGCAGCAGCACTCCATCGATGTCGAGGAAGACGATCACTCCACCGGAGCTCGAAGCTGACATGAAAGCTCAGGAGGCGGAGTTTGGTGCACACGTTTTTGTGTGCAGTGGGCTTCGCGGGCTCGGCGCGTTGATAGAATTTTTGAGTACGCGAGGGCGGGTACTTGAGCACTTGAGCACTGGATAGGGTCGATTCCGCATGGTACGGGACCCCTCGATCGTCTCGCCCTCCCTCACTGGTGTGTTCATTTGGGGGGGTCATAACAAACACGGTACAGGATCGAGGTGCACGCTGCCGGAGCAGTGTCGTCCCCCCTCTCCCCGACGGCGATGGCGGTGTGACCGATCGAGCTACAAGAGGAGCTTGTTCAGCAGGATCCGAGTTAGGCTGGCGCACTGCCTCACTGGGCCTGAGATCGCAGCGCCGCTTCCCGTCACCGTCTCGGGTTTATGTAGAGGGCGGTACCTTTTGTGAAACTGAAACGCGGAACGCGATCTGTCTCGCGTTCCTCAACGCTTGCGATTCAGCTGTCGCGCCGCTGGATGATCTTGCTCAGCTCGCCGAGCTCGACCTGAACGGTCAGCGACCGCTGAATCGCAGCCGTTCGTGCTGCACGCATGCATCGTTGCAGTTTTTCACCTTACTTCCCCCCCTCACTACGTACTTTCAGCTTACTGGGAGAAAAGAGAGATTGTGTTCTCTAGGCCCCTAAGGGCCCTACGCGCGGCGTGAGAGCTCGGAAGCGAGCTTTGCACGGCGATCGAGGATGGCGCGGTTCACCCCCTTCCACCGAAGCAATGGAGATGCGTTCCGCGTGGTGTCTCTCATCTCTCTCTCCAGTGTATGTAGCTCTTACGTACATTCCCGGAGGAGGACTGCTGACAGGGTTTGCGATGAGGAGCGACCCGATGGGTTTCTCGGAGGTTAGTGCACCACTAACCGCCGAAGCGCAAGCGCTGGGAGCAAGAACACTACGGACCTGGGTCGGGCTCATACTAGCACCCCACCTCGCGAGCCGACGTTCTGGCTCAGCGAGGTTGCTGCGGAGCACTCGCGGACCGGTTCTTCTGGTCCAGCGAGGCCGCTGCGGGGCACCCGGCGGCTCGGGTCACTTCTCATCGCAAACTCGGTCGAGCAGGAGGTAAGGTGTGTGCGTGTGGGAGGCGGCGCGGCACTGTGGGAGCGGCGGTACGGCGGCGGCAAGGGTCGGCGGTAAGGCGGCGCGGCGGCAACAGACGGCAGGCAGGGCGCCGGACGGCGGGACAAACGGCACGGCGGGAGCGGCACGGCGGTACGGCGGCACGGCGGTAACGGACGGCAGGGGGGGCGGCAGCAATAATATCGTTGGCCGAAGCCTCGTTGGCCGCGGCCGAAGGCGAAGCCTTATTCAGCTGTTATTAATCGGGAGGTGTGGGGAGGTGTGGGGAGGTGTGGGGAGGTGTGGGGAGGTGTGGGGAGGTGTGGGGAGGTGTGGGGAGGTGTGGGGAGGTGTGGGGAGGTGTGGGGAGGTGTGGGGAGGTGTGGGGAGGTGTGGGGAGGTGTGGGGAGGTGTGGGGAGGTGTGGGGAGGTGTGGGGAGGTGTGGGGAGGTGTGGGGAGGTGTGGGGGGATGTGGGGATGTGGTAGCAGGAGCAGCATCAGCAGCAACAGCAGCAGGAGCAGCAGCACAGGTTAGGTCAGCCGCACAGAGGGCCGCGAGGTTGAGGTCAAAGAGCAGCAAGATGTTGAGGTCAAAAAATCGGTCGATTTCGAAGTTGCTCGAGACGGCCCGGAAATGGCCCCGCGCCGAAGCCCCGGTGTCGGCGCGCACCGCATCTCGGCCGCGAGGACCCGGTTCCGCCGCCCAAACGAGCAGCAGGAGCTCGGGCACAACTTTGTCGACTAACAGGTTGAGGAAAATTTCGGCGAAGAAGCGACACCGGCTGCACGCCGGGACGGACCCGGACCGCTCCCATTGTTCAGAAGAGCGCGGTGGTGAGCCACAACGGACCCCCACACAGCTCACAGCACACACAGGAAGAGCTGGGAGTCGCGGCACCAGACCACTGGTTGGGTAGTAGTCTAAGTTCTGAGCCTCGCGGCTTAACGGGTCTAAGTGTGGCTAGCCACGCTGGAGTGCTTACACGGTCTAAGATCAGCGGGCGCCTCTTACACCGGCTAAGTCGGCCATGGCACGCGATATACGGCGCTCGCGCCCAAATTTTCTTCGCCTGCGCGGCGGGCGATCGATCCTCCTCATGCTCAGCAATCGCCGCCTCAGCATCCTCCTCTTCCGATTCTCGTTGCTGCTTCTTGAGCGCACTTCGGCGACATCTAGCCAAATAGTTCTCACAAATAGCCTCAAGCTCAAACAAACGCATGTCAGAGAAGCCTGTGTATGCTGGTCCTCTTTGAACGATCCGCGCGTGAGGTAGCATAGGGCCTTGTTGGCAGCAGCCAGCTTGTTGCGCTGCTTCGTTGCGATGAGCTGATTGGGATCGCAGAAGTGCATGCCAAGCACCGCCACGATCTTGAAGCAGAACACATCGCAACCGCATCGTCCGCACTGCCATCGGCATGCCGCGCCCGCCGCTTCGCCGCAGCCGCCTTAAGGCACGCATAGCGGCAGCACATGGTACGGTGCGCGTACTTGAGCAGGCGTTGCGCGCCGCAAGTAGCGCACTGGCCCTGGGAGACGGCGATATGGCGTCGTGCGCGGCATACGCTGGTCGGGACCGCGTCCAGGTATTTTTCAGTGTACGTGTACTCTCTCTCTACGTGTACCTAGAGAACACAACCCCCTCTCTCTTTTCTCTCTCTCTCAGTGTATGTAGCTCTTACGTACATTCCCGTAGGAGACTCTGCTGACAGGGTTTGCGATGAGGAGCGACCCGAAGGGTTTCTCGGTTTTTCGGGTAAACCTGGACTTTTGCAGGTATACCCGGGTTTTACCCGGAGTTGGCCTCGTGTCGTCTAAGTTCATGGCCCCCGGCCTTCCAGCGTCTAAGTCTGAGCCCGGCTCCGTGCGGGGGCTAAGTTGAGCGCTCGCTCGCTGCAGAGGCTAAGTGTAGAGCGCGACCCTCTAGCCCTACTACCCAACCATTACCAGACCGCGCCGCCAGCGACGCGAGAGGCGAGAGCGGCAGCAGCCGACATTATCGGGGTCTGCGTCCGTCCACTTTTGACCATTTTTAGTGAGCGCGAATCTGGAAAAAGAAAAGGGACGCATAGGACACCTCCTCGTCCTCATCCTCGGCCTCGGCGGCCGACCCGGCCGAGTGGGCGTGCCCGCTGGCGCGTTCCCCGCACAGACTACCCCCTGTCACCACCACCGCCGCCACACCACCACCACCACACACACCACCGCCCAGCTACGCGCGCGCCCACCATCAGCTCGTCTCGTACACGTCCCTCCCGTCGGTCCAGTAGCCGTCTCTGGTGACGGTCTCACCGCGCGCGGCCAGCATCTCCTCCACATTCTTGTCGTCGCCGAACCAGCCGAGGTTGTCCGCGATGAGGTGCAGCTTGCCGTGGCAAGGGCAGCGGGCAAGCACGACGCCCTTCTCGTACGAGCTCCGGCTGATCTGCTTGACCACCTCGCGCTCCGAGTCGGGGATGCCGTCGTCTGGCGCGTGTGTGCACGTGAAGCGGAGGAGGAGCTTCGGTCCGGCCGTCCTGACACCGGGCGCGGCGGCTGCGTCCCACCCGTCGCCGCGATTGGCGGGGGCCGCTCCCGAGGGCCCGCCCTCGGCGGGCAGCACCGCCGCCGCCGGGTCGGCTTTGCGGATGCGCTGCGCGGCTTGCTGCAGCGCCGCGGCCAGCGCGCTGTCGACGTCGGTCGAGAGGCCTCTCCGCTGCAGCAGCGCGCGGCACTGCGGCCACGCCCGCGGCGGCGCTCGCAGCCATCGACGGAGCATCGCGGGCCAGAAGGAACGTGAGCGGAGAAATCTAGATCCCGACTTGCCAACGTAAGGATCCCCTGTGTCGTGCACGCCCTCCGAGCGGGGCGGCAGACCCTGCCCGTCGGGTTGCTGCCCTAATCCCACCAGGGGTTGTCTGTTCTATTTATTATCGTAAGGATCTCCCTACCCACAAGCAGCTTCAAGCGAGTGTGGCCTCTTCACAGCGTCGTCGGTATTTCACACCCACACCTTGCTTAGGAGCCGTACCTAGGTACCGACCTTCAGCGAGCGCCGGCGTTCACTAACCCCGTTGGGGCGACTGTTGGCTACCAGGTCCAGGGGGCCCACAGTCCTGCCACCAGTACAGTCCCTGGCATACCAAGCCTCCAGGACTCCTTCCGCCCTCACAGGCCGCGCGACAACGGCACAGGCCTCACGTTCGGCTGCCGCGCCAGATTATGGGGTGAGCCCACAGCCCACTCAGCCCACAACCCCGCAGCGCGCTCCGGACGGCTCGAGGGCGCGACCCTCGCCGCGGTCTCCGCCCGCACGCGGTCTGTGTGCTATCGCCTATTGATTGCCGCGACCGTGCCCCGCGACGCGACAGTTTCTTCAAAAAGGCCGAGATCGACAAGAACTATGACATCGAGAAGAGCCAGTTGGGCTCTGGCAACTTTGCCGTCGTCAAGCTTGCCACATACAAGGCGTGCCACATACGGACCGACGCCGCTCGCCGCACGCCTGATCCGCATCTGATGCCCGGCCGCCTCGCACCCTTCGCACCCCTCCCACCCCTCCAGCGCCCTCCCGCCCCTTCGGCGCCTCGCCACCCCGCGCGTGGCGGTCTGCCGCCGACCCCGCGCGCTCAGCTGCCAGGGCCCGGAGAAGAGCGGGGTTCCCCTCAAGAAGGGCGACAAGGTTGCCGTCAAGCAGATAGACAAGGCTAAGGTTGAGGACATGAATGATATCACGGTGCGGGACTCGATTCCCCTGCACCGCCCCTGCGCATCAGCTTCCCCGCACATCGCCTCCCCTGCGCGTCACTCCGCTGCGCAGCTTCTCCCCGCGGGCGGCGCCTCCCGCACTCTGCCCGCCCCGCCTCCTCCTCCCTCCCCGCCCCGCCTCCTCCCTCCCCGCCGCCCCGCCTCCTCCTCCCTCCCCCGCCACCTCCTCCCGCCCCTCACTAATCACCAATAAGAGGATCGCATGCGCCACCCACCGCCTCCACCGCCCCCACCGCCACGCCTCTCCTCGCCGTCTCTGCTCTCTCCTGGCCTCACCGTACCTCCCCCACCTCCTCCTCCTCCCCCTCGCCCACCCCCCCTCCTCGCCGCGCGCAGCGCGAGATCGAGATCATGCAAAACACAAAGCACCCGAACGTCATCACCCTCTTCGAGATCTACGACGAGCCGAAGCGCATGTGCGCCCCCCCTGCGCTCCACCGACCAGCCCAGCTGCTCGTGCGAGCGTGCCTCTCCCACCCACCGCCAGCCCTCTGCTGCCCTCTCTACTCTCTCTCTCTACTCTCTCTCTCCCATGCATATCAGGTCCCTCGTGATGGAGCTCGTCACGGGCGGAGAGCTCTTCGACCGGATCGTCGCTAAGAGCCAGTGCGCCTCGTAGCACACCAAACTAGCTCACGCACGCACACACGCACACACGCACACACCGCAAGCACACAGCACACACAGCACACACAGCACGGGGCAGCCGGGGCAGCGGGGGCGGCGGGGGCGGCCTGCGCCTGGACGCGTCGCCGACACGTCCTGCGCAGGTACACCGAGAAGGAGGCTGCGGACTGCATGAAGCAGCTCTGCACCGCCCTCGCCTACCTGCACAGCCAAAACGTCGTCCACCGCGACCTCAAGCGCAGTTGCAATGAATGGTCGAGTGACGAGTGATGATCAATGATGACATAGGTCGTCCACCGCGACCTCAAGCCGGAGAACATCCTTTATGCGGCGGCGGAGGACGACCCGTCCGGCCACGGCAACCTGATCAAGGAAGCCGCGCGCCACGAGGGGAGGGGGCGGGGGGCTCGCACACTCACGCTGCCAACCCACGCTGCACCGCGCCTGCCGCTTTGACAGCCGCGGGGCGCCTCTCCACCTTGAGATGCGGGCGAGAGGCTGCACATTCCCCACCGCGCGCGCGTGAAGAAGCGTCGCTCACTTCGCCTCGCCCCACCTGTCCTCAGGTCGCTGACTTTGGTCTCGCGCGCGTCGTCTCTGGCGCGATCCGCCGAGAAGAGAGAAGGCTCCCGTCCCCGGACACGTCCACGACGCGTCCCTCCCTCGCCGCAGGCTCGACCGTCATGAAGACGGCTTGCGGGACGCCGGGGTACGTGGCGCCCGAGATTCTGAAGAACAAGGGCTACGATTCGGGCAAGGCGCGCGGGGCGGCAGGGGCGGGGGGGCAGGGGCAGGGGGAGGGGGAGGGGGAGGGAGAGGAGGCAACCGGGTCTACCGGCGCGAGGACCTCCGCCCGCTCAGGTGGACATCTGGTCGGCGGGCGTGATCCTCTACATCCTACTGTGCGGCTTCCCGCCCTTCTACGAGGAGGAGCTGCCCGCGCTCTTCGACCAGATCCTGCACGCGCGCTACGACTTCCCCTCGCCCTGGTGGGACAACATCTCGCCCGACGCCAAGAACTTGGCGCGCCGCCGCCCCGCCCCGCCGCCGCCCCTCGCCGCTTCCCCCCGTCTACACCTTCTCTCGTGATCGGTCCGGGGGGAGGCGGGATTTGCGGGAGTGGAGGGTGGGGCGTCGCCCACGGCGAGGGGCGGCCCCGCAGGCAGGCTGACGGGTGGTCGGGTCGCCGCTTCGCCGCCGCAGGTGAAGGCGATGCTGACGCTGGACCCGCTCAAGCGGATTAGCGCCGACGATGTGCTCAGCCATCCCTGGATAAAGGGCGGCGCGCCGGACACGGAGCTGGAGGGGGCGAAGGCGTCGCTCAAAAAGTACCAGGCGAGTAGGAAGCTCAAAAAGGCGGCGCTCGGCATCATCGCGCAGAACCGGATCAGTGCGATGGCGGCGCAGATGAAGGAGCTGCAGGTCGGGGGGGACGGGAAGTAGCCCGCCACACGCCCCAGCCTCGGGAATGGCGCCGCTGCTCCTGCTCTACACCTCGCGTCTCGGCACGATTTGCGCTCGCACCTCGCCGTGCTACCAGTCAGGGGAGCGCAGGGTCTCTCCAACTCTCCCCAACACGGTCACCGACATGCGCCCCCCGGGTCCGATAACCGCTACCTAGCAACTGTGTTCGATGTACACCCTCTTCTGTCGCCATACAGCTCGTGTGACAGCGGTGGGGCGACACTGCTCGGCTCGACTCGTGCCGTCTGCCGGCACACTGTCACTGACATCACTGTGTGAGACCATGGGAGAGAGGTAAAATCACGCTACCCCAGCGCTTCGTTACACCTTACACTGGGGCTCGGGCCTCGGCGACACGACGGCGCGGACTGCCGTCCTGCCGGCCGACACTGGCCAGGCTCGGACTAGGTACGTTATAATCCCTCGTGTCGCCGGTTTCTGTTCGCGGTATCCCTCCGCGCGGCGAGGCGCAGTGCGGATACCGGGAGATACCGGGAGATCGATACCAGGAGGAATTGGAGACCAGCCACACTTGCCAAAAAAGAGAGAGAGAACCCCACAAGGGCTCTCAAAAACGAAACGGCGAAACGGGGCCATGTCCGACTCCGAGGCTTCCATGCCGGGCCTGGAGCCGTTCCACGTGCGTCAGATCCGGATGGTCGAGCGCGTTCTCGGCCAGAAGGTGTCGCCACGCGACCACGCGATGATTGATTGTCTCGCGGAGCGCATGGAGAGGTACGGTTGGCACTCCGTCAGCATCAACCCGGTGCCGCTTGGGTATCAGTACATCATCCAGGCCAAGTCTGAGAAGAGGCGGGAGGATGAGGCCAGGCAGCAGGCCGCGCAGGACGCTGCGCAGCCTCAGCCTACCGCCACTTTCGCCGCACCGCCCGTGGCACCGCCTGCCGCCGCTGCCGCTCCGGCCGCAGCATCGCAGGCACACTCGCAGCACCAACAGGCGCAGCAACCCCGGCCCAACGAGTCGCGCGAGGGGTGGACGAGGGTCGGGAAGGGCGGCAAGCCGGACAGGTTCACCATGAAGAACTTCGGCCGCAACCCGCCAAAGTCGGGCAAGCGGAAGCAGGAACACCGCAAGCCCGCACCCAAGGGAGGTGGACCCCCACCCCCTTCTCCCAAGGTGGTGGACAAGAACAGGCTGAGCGCATTGGGCGCTGGCCCTTCTGGCACCAGCGGGAGCACCGAGCGCACACCGCCGCGCTCTCCCTCCCCCACCTCGCCGCCTGCCAAATCGCCGCGGCCGTCTGCGCCTGCTTCCGGGTATGACTCCGAGCTCGAATTTTCCGACGCTGAGGCGCGGGATAGGGTGGCAGGGGTTGTGCACGACGCAGTGCAGCAGGCTGTGATGCAATATGGCTATGACGACGAGCTCTACCAGGCATGGAGGGACGGCAAGATAGGCGAAAAGGACTTGCCGGAGGAGGTGATGGCTATGACTTTGGACCTTTGCGAGAGGTGGCGAGCGGAGCAAGCGCGGTGTAGGCGCGCCCACGCGGCGCAGCGGCTCTCCCGCGACCATAGCCCCTCCCGCAGCCGCAGCCGTAGCCGCAGCCCCAACTCTTGCTGCTCTTCTAGTGTCGGGTAGTGACCAGGGGGTGAGGGGACGGATTGAAGATCCCTCACACCAAGATCGTGCAGGGCGGGGACACATGTCCCTAAATCCCATCTCGTCTCAGAGTTTGACCGTTTTTATTTATTTATTTAAGGGCTCTCGGTGATTGCAGTAAAATGGCCGGGCCGGCTTGGAATGGAGCACTGGACTGCGCTGGCGGCCTCCAAGTCCGGTGTGGGTGTAGCCTCGCTGTTTGGGCTAGCTCGGCTTGCACTAACTCGGACTCGGTTGCACCCGACTGGGCGGGCTTGGGCGGTGATACTCCTGCTTCTGCGGGCTGCGTCAGCGGCATCGAAGAGGCTGGACACCTTGGAGTCGTTGCTAACAGGGCTATCGGGTATTGCAGTTATGGTGCTATCCACGTTCAAGCTCAATACGGGAGACATGGGTGAATGCAACCTTCAAGGTCGGGCGGTCGTCTCCGGAGTCGCTCACCTCGCCGCATTCGCCATGGCTGCAATCTGCGTCGTGGCTGCTGAGGCTGGACTGAGTCGCAACACTGGGCCTCTGCTCGCGATCGCAGGGTCGCTGTTGCTTGCAACTGCTGGGTGGGTTTCTCGCAGTACCATGTTGCTTGTGGCTGCACTGCTGCAGGTTGTTGGGATGGTGGGAGGGCTACTTTCTGCATCAACGGAAGACCACGTTCGCGGGGCTCTGCTCTCCTCGTCACGCACACTGAGTGTCATCTTATTTGCCTATTGCATTCCAAGGCAATTAGCATATCGTGGGGATGCAAAGGTGGGTGCAGCTGAGAAGCTGTTGAAAGCAGACCCTGCCTCGAGCGCTGCTCCCAAGCATGCGGCTGAGCCTTGGGAGCCCTGGCTGGGCGAGTGGCTCTTGCTTCAGGTTCACAGATACTTGTGGGCTTCGATGACCCGACTCCCTCCTCGAGGCCCGTTCAAGCTAAAGCTACGCCACGCGATCAACGCACACAAGGCGGCGAGCACTCCAACAGTGCTGTTGCTCATGGCTGCACGAGGCGCCTGGGGCGCTCCCGCTTGGGTCTACCTCGGCATGCACGGCGGATATGGCGTCGCGTGGCTCATCAAAGAAGCCACTTTCCCAGATTCCACGTGGGGGGCAGACGCTACTTTGGGCGGCTGCATCTACCTCTTTTTCTCCATGAGCTTGTTTTGGATCGCTCCCTTTTGCGTCATCGATGCTGAGGCCAGAGGAATGAGCACGCCCCCCCCCACGGTAGCAGCAGCGCTCTATCTCTTTTCAATCGGAATGCTGTTCCTCCACGCTGCAGACTCGCAAAAGACATTTATCCTCAAGCACAGTGAGCGGCGCGGGCTGATTAGAGACGGCCTCTTTAGCCGCACCAGGAACCCCAACTACTTTGGTGAGGTGCTAATCTACTCGAGCTTCTCGATGATGGCCTCCACGAGTCGGCTTTGGTTCTTGCCTTGGTGCGTCAACAGTTTTGTGTGGTTCGCGCTCTTCCTTCCTTCCTGGCTCGTGAAAGATCGGAGCCTGAGCAGACACCCCGGCTTCAGGGCCTACCAGCGCCGGACGGGCGTGCTGATACCGTGGGTCTTTGGCACCGGCTGGTGGCCCGAGCTGAGTTGCGATACAAGTGGCACTGGTGGTGTGTCGGCGTGGGCGTGTTGAGTCCTTAAATAAACAAAGGAAGGAGAAAGAAAGAAAGAAAACAGACGACCCAAAGGCGGGATGGGAGGAGGACAGGGTCCCCACGGCAGCACGACGCTGTCGCGTGAATCGTGTAATAAATAAATAAATAAAACGGGCATCCCAAGCTAGGGCTGGGTCGAGGACAGACACGTCCCCACCTTTGCAGGATTTTGCAAGGGCGAGGGGGAGGGGGCGCATCGCGGCGTGGAGAGGGCTGGGCACAGGGCACAGGGGATCTCTCTCGCATAGGATACACACTCGGCGGCACGAGGGCAAGGCTGGGCCTCCTATTGGTGCTCCCCTCGGGGTCCTCGCTCTTGGGGCACTAATCCTCCGACCACTCTGAGGGGCAGTGTGAGCTACTACGCGAGCGGCCGCGCTCCGGTTCAGGGTTGCGTGAATCGTGTCGTGCGACCGCCTTTTTGTAAAATTCTTCTCTGTCTGACCGACCGACACAGAAGTGATCCTGGCGAGTAGAGGCCCCGCCCACCCAGGGTCCCCATTGCTCTTTCGAGGACTCGAGGGCTCTGCGCAACACTGTGGCACCGACGCTCCTGCTCGAGCCACAGAGGCCACGGTAGTGGACGTGGTGAGCTCCGGACGACTCTGGCACGCGGTGCTCCGCGCCGATCCTACGGCGGCCGCGGCCGCCGTGGCGCGGGGCGCCGAGCCACTGCGCGTTGTCCTGCTGCACGGGATACTGCAGAGCTGCTCATGTTGGCTCGAGGTGGCGTGTGCGCTGTCTCTACGGGGCCACGAGGTCCTCCTGCTCGACTGGCCGCACCACGGACGCTCGCCCACCGCCGCACAGATCGGCGTCGCGATGAGCGCCGACGGCTTCCTCCTCTCGCTGGAGCGGCTTCTCGCCGCCGTCGGCTGGGCGCACGGGCCGCCGCTGGCGCTGGCCGGCTGCTCGCTCGGCGGCGTGCTCGCGCTAAAGTACGCGTGCGCCCACCCTGCCCGAGTGGCGCGGCTGACGCTGGTTGCGCCGGCGGGCCTCAGCGAGCCGGCGTGGAACCTCCCCTTCCACGTCCTCAGCCGGCTGGTCGGCTCCCTCCCGCACAAGCTAGCCGAGCTCTGCCGGCAGACGCCGACCTACGGCGTGAACGAGGAGGAGGTGGTGGCGATGGCGGAGCGGCTGCGGCCGGAGGGCGGTCTCAGGGTGGTGGTCGCCGGCTGCGACCTCGTGCACACGCCCCACGAGGCGTTCTGGACGTCGCTCGTGCCGCCGTCCAACTTTTCCCTCCACCGGCTCACATCGCACTGGTGGCTCTGCAGCCACCTCTTCGGGCTGCGGCTGCACGAGGAGCCCGGGTGCTGGGAGAGGAGCGCGGCGCAGCCGCGATCAAGACTCTGAGACGCAGAGCTGACGCGTATGCCCCAGGTAACTGGATCCTGCCACCTCACCCCCCTGGGGCCCACGCCCTGCCCCCCTCGTCTCACGTCTGGCGTACGTGGTGGAGTGGTGGTGCCAGTTGCTTTCAGGCGACCGCAGGCGGCTCTCTCGTGTCTCGACCCGGCACCCGCGCCGCGCCCCGCGCGCGCGGCCGAGAACGCAGAGCAAAACTCTTGTGGCCGTTTCGGAGCCTCCTCGAATCAAGACTGTAAACTCAACACAAGTGTAGTATATGCGCACACCCACACATGCGCCCCGCACTACGTTATCGTAGCACACGTCAGCTGGGCACAAAACCCGCGTCGGGCATGAGACGCAGCCATCGCCCTGAGTCCTCAGTGAAGGCGTCGCATGCAAACACGTCAAACTCGGTCGTCAGGTCCCGCAGCATCTCGCCCGCCACCGCAGCCTCGCCCGCGGCGGGCACTGCCGCCGCGCCGCTAGATTGCCGGGGCGACGGCGCGGGCGATATGGGTGAGGGGGCTGGCGCGCGCGGCGGCGGGGGAGGCGGCTCCTCCCGGATGAAGACCTGGATCTGCGGGTCGACCGGCTCAAAATCGGGCGCCGCGGTCACGTGCTCCTGCTCGTGCTGCGTCTCGACCCAGTGGTACGTTTTGCAGCGGTCGACCCACTTGCAGTTGATGCAGATGCAGCTACGAGGCGGGGCGCACCGCGCGCCGCCGAAGACCCCCGCCGCCGCGGGCCTCGCCGCGACGGCGAGAGAGGCGGGGGAAACGATGATTCTCATGTTTATGCGCCGAAGCCCGAAGGCGAAGGGCGCGCAGCCTTTCACACTTTCATCACACCGGAGAACTGGTGCATTCAGCCCTCACTCACACACCGGAGTGGACTGTGTGACCCCTCGGGTTTCTGGGACTCGACAGAGGTGTGCTAGTCGCTACAGTCGGACGGCTCCGGCACGTCTGATAGGCAGTTGGGCTCGAGTGAGGGCCGCGGTCGCGGTCGCGGCCAGCGCGCGGGGCCTGGCTGGGGCTGCCGGGGTGAATCTCGATCCACGCGCCGGAGCGCGCGTGGTGCTTGAGCAGCCGGGCGGTTCCTTGTGTGAACGATCTGCGTCTTGGGTCGTGGTAGTGTTGTCTTTGCTTCTCTTTTTCGCCCCCCGTTGAGTGTCGCGTTGGCCGATACACACATGTCCGGCGTGCGCGTCATGGGCGCCAAGGCCGCCGCCGCCGCCGACGGCGGCGGCGCGGCCTCCTCGTCTGGCGCGAGGCTGATGACGCCGCAGCTGGAGCTGTGTGCCGATGAGGTGCGGCCGCTGCTGGGGGAGAACACCGACTTCACGGTCGTCGGCGTGCTCGGCTGCCAGGGCGTGGGCAAGTCGACCATCATGTCGCTGCTGGCCGGCGCGGGGTGGCGGGGTGGCGGCAGCGACGCCGCAGCCGACACCGCGGCGGACTCGATGGCGGGAGGCGGCGCCGAGCTCGCCAACCCGCCCTTCCCACCCAACCCGCCCGAGGCGTGGGCGCGCGGCGCGCACGGCACGAGCGGCGTCGACGTGCAGGTGACCGCCGAGCGGCTCATCCTCCTCGACACGCAGCCGCTCCTCTCTGCGTCGCTGCTGCTCTCTATGACCGGCTCACCGGTGCCTCCGAGCGTGCACTCGCACGAGAACCTGCTCGAGGTGCAGGCGCTGCAGCTGTGCGCGCTCCTCCTCTCCGTCTGCCACGTCGTCCTCCTCGTGCAGGACGCGGCCGCCGACGTGCGCTGGTGCTCGCCGAGTAGTCGGGGAGAGAGTAGTCGCCGTAGCCGGCGTGTCGCGCGTGGGCCTCTGCAGGAGGGTCTCTGGAGTTCGGCAGCGGCCGGTGAGCGAGTGAGGCGGTGGTTCGAGCGCCCAGCCGTCTCTGCTAGGTGGCGGCTGCTGCGCGCGGCCCAGATGGTTGGCCACCGGCTGCCCGACATCGCAACCGCCCTCGCACCCGCCGCCGGCCCGCCGCCGCCGCCGCCGCCGCACGCCCAGCAGCCTCCTCCGCCTGGGCAAGGTGGCGGCGCCGGCGGAGGAGGGGCCGCCGCCGCGGCCGAGGTGACCGCTGCGCCACCGCCGGGCGGCGGTGCGGGCGGGGGAGGGAGCGACTACCGGCCAACGCTCGTCTGCGTCATCAACCGGCTGCCGTTCGCGAGGCTAGGTGCGAGATGCGCCGAGATGAGGCGAGATTGGCCGAGGTGTGGTGTGCGAGCCTATCTCGCGCGCGCCCGCCTCCGCACGCCTCCAACGCGCCAGCTCTCCCTCTCCCCCGAGGAGTGCACCTCACCTGACGCTAGGCTGCGCGCCCGACCGAGCGGGCGTGCGCGAGACGCTCGCGGCGCCAGATGCTGGACACGCACCCTCGCACTCTAGCAAGCCCTCCAGACGACACGAGCTCGGCCGTGAGCGACACAGCTCGACCCGCCAGCGCTGCACTCGTCGGCTCTCGCACTCACCCAGCCTCGTCCGCGTGTGTCGATGTCGCAGGCTCGCCTCCCTCCTCTCCGCCTCCGCGCTAGGGATGCCGTCGGCGTCGGAGCCGCCGCTCGTGTTCGCGCTGCCTTGCGCCAGCGAGCGAGCGCCCACCTCGTCGCACGCCGGCTACCGCCACGAGGCCGAGCAGCTGAGAGACGCCGTCCTCGGCCTGCCCCGCCGCCCGTTTGCGAGGTCCCTTTCCGAGCGCGACTGGCTGCGTGGCGTGGTCAAGCTTTGGGAGCTCGTCCGCCGCTCGCCCACGCTCGACGAGTACAACCGTGCGACGCACAAGCTCCACCAGTGGGCGTGATAGTAACCAACTGGCTTTCATGTCGAGCTCGGCCCGGCGGTCGGGGATGGCGGCCCACCGCACCGCAGAGGGAGAGGCCCTCCAGAGACCAGACCGCGAGCGCAGTCCTGCAGCAAGTCCTGCACAGCACTCAGCAGCACACGCTGCCGACCCAAAACGCAAAAGCGCTCTCCAAGTGCTCCCCGACCATCCAAGACCATAAGTAGAGCAATCCTACTTCCTAGCAAGAGCCAAGACACCTCGCGCAAGACCCAAGCGAGCTCCGAGCAAGGTCTAGTGATCTAGGCTCGTCACCAGATCAGTGTCGTCACGGAGAAAATGAGACTTTTCTTCCATACATGGATCTGCGGACAATACATCGCCAGTTCGACAGACATTGACCAAATCTTCACATCGCACACAGCCATGGATGTGCACACACAGAGGGGGGGCCAGCTCGTGCAGCCGTTCGACTGGCCAGGGCCTCACATGCGCGCGGCTTCGTAGAGCGGCATCCGACACACGCTCCGGCTCCGCGAGAACGGCGGAATCCGGACGATGCCTATACAGAGAGGTTCGGGGAGGGGCGCTATCCCCCCCCATCCGAGCAAGCACACTCATGCGAGGGTACACATACTTTGCCAGATCTGCATGCACGAGCACGCTTTGCCAACGTCTCTGGGTGTGCCCCACAGCACCTCCCGCGGCAGGGCGGGCGGGGGCGAGCAGAGAGGTCATCGCCTCTCCGCGGCACACCGGCGGGTCGCGCTCAGCCCGCCTTTGCCGCCGAGCAGGCATTCATCAGGAAGGTGAAGAACTGCACCTTCTCGCCGCGCGTTCGCAGGTAGCGCTCCTGCAGCCGGAAGCAGAGGCTGGCGTAGTCGGAGAGCTCGATGTTGGTCTCGAAGCTGATGAGCTTGAGGAAGTTGATCTCCCAGCGCGAGATCTGTCCGACCTGGACGTTGGAGATCTTCAGCGCGCGCAAGAAGTCCTCGTTCCAGACCGGCTCGTCGAAGCACAGCTTGGCCGCGACCACAAAGCCCGACAGGACCGATGGCTGCCAGTTGAGCCGCGTGAGCTCGAAGTTGTCGTTGGCCACGAGGCGCTCGAGGTAGGTGACCATCGCGATGATGCACGAGTTGGGCAGGTTGAGCTGCCGGCAGATGGTCTCGATGTACTCTTTCATCTCTGCTCTCGTCGACACGTGCGGCTGCGGCGAGCCTGCTGGAATCTCCGCCTTGGTCATCGCCTGCAGGGGCGGGAGAGGCGGCAGTGAGGGGAGAGGCGGCAGGGAGGGGAGGAGCCGGCAGCGGAGAGGAGGGAGGGGAGGAGAGAGGCGGCAGGATTTGCGCCTCGAGGTGCATGGCGCAAGCCTCGCAGACGAGCGAGCGGCTCGCCTCCGTCTGAGGCTGCTCCGCCTCGCGCGCGCGCAGCTGGTGCAGCACGGCAAACGACTTGTTCTTGGGCAGCCGCCCGCCGCACCGCTCGCCCGCGCCGCCGCCGCTCCCCTCTGCCTCGCCGGCTCCCAGGCTCTGCAGCGCCGCGGCGGCCGACTCGTTGCGGCGCATGCGGGAGAGAGACGACGCATCGGGCGACCGGTTGAGCAGCGCGAGCGAGGCGTCCTTGCTCGCGCTGGGCGCGCAGGCCGACGCCGAGGGCGACGGTTCTCCAGATGTGGACGGGGACGACGTGTCGCACCGACCAGCCTTTGCCTGCTGCTGCTGCCGCTGCTGCTGCTGCGTGGACTGCTCGGCGTCGGCGCCTGCACGCCAGCAGAGGCTTGGCGGCTTAGCCAAAGGTGGGACTGCGCGGAAAGGGGCGCGCGGGCACACAGACACAGCGTCCCACTCTCTCTGTGCGCGCTCAGAGTGGCCGTTTCGCGCGCGGCGCACCGTGCTTGTCCGCTCCGCCGAGGCCAAAGATGCCTTTTCCAGACCCGTACGCCTTGACGGCCGCCAGCATCGTGCGGCGAGACGGCCCGCGAGCTGTGGCGAGACGCTGCAGGGCGACGAGGCCGCGGCTAATCGCGTTGGTGCCGAAGTGTGTGCTCTTGCGTTTTGTGTCTTGACGAGGCTAATGATGGCAGCGGTTTTTCTTTTGAGTTACCCCAGCCGGACGTCGCACCGGGCACGCGGGTCTCCCCGCACGATATGCTAGCACATACAGATGTTAGATGCAAGGTGGGCCCAGGTAGCTGCCTAGCTGGCTCCGCCACCTCACTCACCCCTCGTCATGCCTTATCAGCTGGTCGGCCGCCATGTGGGCCTCCGGGCCTGCTGCGGCGGCGCGGCCGGTTGAGGCCGGGCTCGGCCCGGCCCGCGACGGCTGGCCGCCGACGAGCGCGCTCGCGCTGCTCGTCAAAATGGCGGCGGTGGCGATTGCGGCGACGGTCGTTCAGTCAGGCGTACATGGTACAGCGCTCAGGCGCCTGTCGTCTTTCGTCTTGTCGCATTTCGCACACGCGCGCGCCGCGCGACCCGCGTCGCTCCGCGAGGGCATGAGCCTTCCGCGATTCGAACCCGCAGCCAAAAGCTGCTCGCTCGAACCGCGGCCGACTCTGCCACCGCGGCCGCAGCTGCTGAGCACTCCAGAAAACTGGTGCCTCATATGCTGCCTCCCTGCCTTTTCTCCTCGGCGAGCCTGGCGGTCCGCTGTACTACAAGGAAGTGCTGACTCGATTCTACCTCGAATTCTTCTACCCCCACGACTCGGAACACGAATGTGACAGGACCATCGGGTCCTTCAGCCACCAAAAGCGGGATCACCCGAGAGCAGCTGAGCCTGCCTCTGGCCTCGCCTCCCTCTCCTTCAGGCATTCGTGGCATCCTATGGGTCGTCCAGAGTATCGACCTCTGGCGAGTCAGCCGGTCACTTGATGACACCATGAAGTACCAGCGATCGCCACCTCGCTGGCCTCTCCGCAGGCCCCCCCGACCGCGTCGAACTCATCGGCGCGGGCTCTCTCGGCTACGGGACCGGCCCCAGCTTCGGCTGAGGGCTAACAAGCTGCCGAGCCCAAATCACTGTGAGAGTCGTGATTTCTTGTTGGTTAATAAAAATCTCTCTCATGCCACCTGAATGAAAGCCAAGCGCGGGCTCTCTATGGCCACATGAGGGCTCAGGTGCACCCAACAAAAGAAATGGTTTGGTATTGCGAAAAATGTCTCTCTCTCCCAGCCAAAAGGTGGCTTCGACGCGGGCGAGGCTGCAGGGGCGAGGACCCACATCGTCCATTCGATCGAGGCTACCTGCACAGCTCCCTCGCCGCACCACGTGGGGGCTGTGGAGCACGTGTGCCCACGGAAACGGAAATCCGAGCCACCGAATATGTCTAAATCAATCGGACACGCCAAAGCAGCTACCGAGGGGTGGGAGAAGGACGGTCGCTCCCTCTACCAGCACGAACGAACAGGATCTTGGAAGGACGACGTCAAGGACACACTTGGGAACGGGAGCGGCAAAAGGTCAAAAGGTGGCTTAGTGGGAAAATCGGCTTTCCCATAAGCCTAACAGGGAGCGCATCGCGACACGGAGGGGGGCTGGGCAGGTCACCCACGACACAGGGTCCCAGGGATTCCTCTCTCCTATAGGACAGGTTGCACCCGGCGGCACGGGCTAGGGCACGGGGCTCGGGGGCAGGCGCGGGCCTCCCTACTCGACTGTTCGCTCTCCTAGTTTTTATTTATAACATCGCCTGCTCCCAACAAAAGGGACAGCGACGGCCGACGGTAGCACACTAGCGACCTTCCGGCGCTTCCTCCAGTTTGCCTTCTCACTGGCAGTCTCTCACTACCATCTTCCTCCAGCTTCTCCGGGGGGGTTGCCATTTCTTTTTTCCCATACAACAAACAACCCGACGTGGACACGTGCAACATTGGCAGGCGGGCGGCAGGCGCTATTCCGACGATGTCAAGGTCGTCTGCCCCCTCCTGCAGCAGCAGCGGGGAGCATGGTCGGAAGGGCGCTTTTGTCGCTTTCGGCAACACCGAGGCGTTCTACCGGAACATGGTCGTGGGGCATGGGCCCTACTGCGAGGAGGGAGAGGGAGGGGGGGAGGGAGAGGGGGGGGGGGGGGGGGGGAGGAGTGTGAGGGGTACGGGGGCGACGGCATGGAGGGGGAGAGGAAGAGCAAGGGCGAGAGGGGGCAGGGCGCAGGGGACGGGTCGCTGGGATACTAGGGGGGGAAGGGTGGTGGGCGGCGACCGCCGCATACCGTCCTACGGCGGGGATTGTCGGCTCGCTACGCCAGGGAGGACAAGGACGTCGACGTGCAGCTGCTGCTGTTCGAGTCGGTTCGGTCCGGTTCGGGCAGGGGGTCGGCGAGATCCTCTGGAAGGCGGCGAACGTGCTGCAGAACAAGCTGACGCGGGCCAAGTATCTCGATGAGGTGACTTGGACCACCAACGCAAGAGTTGGCTAGGGCTGCAGAAGCAGCGTATATCTCAGCGTCGTTCTTTACACGGCCATCGCAGAGCAGATATTCCTCTGTCTGTGTGCCCGCGCGCCCCTTTCCGCGCACTCCCACCGTTGGCTTAGCCGCCAAGCCTCTGCTGGCGTGCAGGCACCGACGCCGAGCAGTCCACGCAGCTTGTCGGAGTTGCGAATCGGCTGGTTCTCCGAGTTCCCCATCCGTGAGGCGTGACAGGCACGAAGCAGCAACGCGCGGGAAGCGTTGGGATTGGGAAAAAAGAATTTTAGAACAAAACTCCCTCGCACAGCACTGGGCACGGGACTGGCGCGCACTGGCACTAACACAAGTACACTACGGGAGCCGCCTGCGAGGACGGCGAGGCACTTAGCTCCGTGCACTCGACCGCCCTCGCCGCAGGCAAGCTCATTCAATCATGCACATCCCACTCTCTGTGCGCGCTCAGAGTGGCTGTTTCGCGCGCGGCGCACCGTGCTTGGGCCGAGCGTTTTTGATCTCTGGGTGAGTGGGCGCCCGCCCACCGCCTCTGAGGGAGTCGGGCCCCCTAGACTGAAAACAATAACAAAATGCAGAAACAGTCACAAACAGCCTGCGAGAGCGGCGCTGCGCGCCGCCTACCTCGTGCGGGTGTGAGAGTGACCCCAAACAGCGGAGCTCTGCAGCGGGCCCTCCTCTCGCCGCCTTCGCTGCCGCTGCATCGCTGTCGGCTCGTCATTTCTGTCTACGGTCATATGGGGGCGCCATCACTGTTCTCTCTCTCTCTCCTGGGGTCAGCTCCAAGCTGCCGTGTCGGGACGCCGCCCCCTCGCCCCCCCCCCCCTTCTCCCGCTGAACTGCATGCTGCGATTCTCGCCCCTTGTCCCAGGAGCCAGGTGCGTGTGTCTAATCGTAGTGGGGGGCCTGGCCCCCCTCTGTTTTCTGTTTTCTGTTTTTCAAAACGCCCGCCCGCCCGCCACCCCGAGGCGGCTCGGCCCCCCACTCACCCAGAGATCAAAAACGCTCCTGAAACGCTCGGCCTTGTCCGCTCCGCCGAGGCCAAAGATGCCTTTTCCAGACCCGTACGCCTTGACGGCCGCCAGCATCGTGGGGCGAGACGGCCCGCGAGCTGTGGCGAGACGCTGCAGGGCGACGAGGCCGCGGCTAATCGCGTTGGTGCCGAAGTGTGTGCTCTTGCGTTTTGTGTCTTGACGAGGCTAATGATGTAAGCGGGTTTTCTTTTGAGTTACCCCAGCCGGACGTCGCACCGGGCACGCGGGTCTCCCCGCACGATATGCTAGCACATACAGATGTTAGATGCAAGGTGGGCCCAGGTAGCTGCCTAGCTGGCTCCGCCACCTCACTCACCCCTCGTCATGCCACCTGAATGAAAGCCAAGCGCGGGCTCTCTATGACCACATGAGGGCTCAGGTGCACCCAGCCAACAAAAGAAATGGTTTGGTATTGCTAAAAATGTCTCTCTCTCCCAGCCAAAAGGTGGCTTCGACGCGGGCGAGGCTGCAGGGGCGAGGACCACTCCATCGTCCATCGACCGAGGCTACCTGCACAGCTCCCTCGCCGCACCACGTGGGGGCTGTGGAGCACGTGTGCCCACGGAAACGGAAATCCGAGCCACCAAATATGCCTAAATCAATCGGACACGCCAAACGAGGGGAGGGACAAGGACGGTCGCTCCCTACCAGCACGAACGAACAGGATCTTGGAAGGACGACGTCAAGGACACACTTGGGAACGGGAGCGGCAAAAGGTCAAAAGGTGGCTTAGTGGGAAAATCGGCTTTCCCATAAGCCTAACAGGGAGCGCATCGCGACACGGAGGGGGGCTGGGCAGGTCACCCACGACACAGGGTCCCAGGGATTCCTCTCTCCTATAGGACAGGTTGCACCCGGCGGCACGGGCTAGGGCACGGGGCTCGGGGGCAGGCGCGGGCCTCCCTACTCGACTGTTCGCTCTCCTAGTTTTTATTTATAACATCGCCTGCTCCCAACAAAAGGGACAGCGACGGCCGACGGTAGCACACAGCCCGCGCCTCGCCGTTGTGGTAGACGTGGAGTAGTGCTTCCTTCGAGGGAAGGCTTTCAAACATCGAACTCAGGCCCGCGGAGGACGGGAGCGAGTGGAGTGCGGTGCACATTGGCTCTGACAAAAGAGGACGCACGACGCCGTGCGGAAGTTCCGACGTCCTTCTCGAGGGTTACGTTCCGGTCTCCTCAATGTCAGTGTTGGCTGAATGAAGAAAGGGAGAGATTTGGTCGAGAGGGCGCGGTGAGAGAGGGGGGGGCGGGGGGGGGGGGGGGGCATGTGCATGGGGGTGCATGTGCATGTGCATGTAGTGTGTTTGAGCGGATGTTTGTCGGGGCGGGCACATACTGACGTAACGGGCACACAAGCGACACAAGGGAATTCACTAGCGCGGACGACCTAGGTCCTGCGAGAGAGGCAGAGGGACAGAGAGCTTTGTGAGATCTCTCCAGGTCCCGTGGAGCGTGGTCCCCTTGCTCCTGGGGGTGTGGGGCTCTCCTCCGCTCGTGTCCTTCACCCACAGAGCCGTGTCCATTTATACGCATTAGCACCATAGAGGAATGCGAGGAGATGATGATGCGCCACATCCGTCGTTCTTACGTACCAAGCCCCCCTCCACTTTCGCACTCCCCCAGCCCCACGATACCGTACACTCCATGTCGATCCATGAGGACAGGATTCTAGTCAGGCTGTAGACGGATTCACTCTCACTTCTGCTTGCCCGCCTCGGAAAAGATGCGCTTCCAGTCGCTCGAGGACGCGCGGCCCGCCAAAGTGCGGCGCGGCTCGCGCCCTCCTTTTTCGCGGTACGGCGCCTTGCTGCGCGGCGTGTCGGCCACCCAGACCTCCACCTCGCGGAGGCGCACCTGCGTTCGCCGACCGCCAAAGAGCGACACCTCGTAGGGAGGCGGCCCGCGGTTGTAGGAGGATCCGAGGAAGGAGGAGGCGGATCGCAAGCTCCCTTGCTGCTGCATGCTCTCGGTGTCGGGGCCGGCGAATCCTCCCATCACCGGAGCCATGCCCGCGCCGACGACTAGTGCATCAGACCCAAAGGTGGGCCCAGATCGTGCGTTGTCGTAGATGGCCGCGCCGCCTGTGGTGCCCATTCGATGCCAAACGCCGCTGCGCTCAATCGCAAAGACGAATGCGCTGGTTGAGGAGGAGTAATCATCGGTGGATGCCCACCCAGACGGGTTGTAGCCTCCCGCGACCGCGCCGCCACTCGCTGCCACGACGAGGGCACTCCCGCAAAAGTCGACGCGGTCGTGAAAGCGTTCCGCTCCCCAACCATCGCGCGAAGCCCTGTAGGCGAGCCTCAGCGGCTTGCCGTCGAGATTTGTGCCGGCGAGCAGCGTCGGCGGCGGCTTGGGGAGCGAGCCGCCTCGCGAGGCTAGCGCCAGGCCGCCAATTACCGCTCCGAGAGGGAGCATGAGCGGCTCCTCGCGGGCGACATTGAGAGCAGCGTCCACGTCGCCTGCCACGTAGCAGTCGCCAATCGTGTGGAGAGAGTTCGCCAGGTGCGAGAGCGCAGGCAGCATTTTCGGCGGCAGCGTCGGAAATATCATGGCCTAGGTGGAAGAGCAATGAGAGCTCCACAGGCCTCGTCAGGTTGTTGCTCTGGTGCGTTCACTCATCACACCACCGCAGTAGGGATCCTGGCGGCGAGTCGCAATCACCCGCCCGCCGTCCCGGCGGTCCCGCAGCTCGCGCGCATCTCCCTCTTAACCCACCTCTAACATCACAATAGGGGATCCCTACAATCGCTTGTTGAAGTCCGGGGTTTTTATGCGTATGATTGTAAGGGCGTAGGGACCCGCCCCAGGACAGGCTCTGGCGTTCTGATGGAGCGCTCTGGTGCCGAGGAGAGCCGCTGGCACGAGGTAGATGTGAAGCCACGACGGTCGGTACAGCAGGCCGACCAGAGAGTGCAGAGTGAGCACTGCCCCTCTCCAAGATCGACTCCTGTGGAGAAGCCCGCCTAGGACCATCAAGGGGAGACCAGGTACACTTGACCCGCGCAAAGAGCTAGATGCAGCTGTCACCATTCTACGGCCTCTACAGAGCGTATGCCTTGCTTGCCGCCGGACGGACGGTGGCGGTCGTGTCGGTGGTTGGGCCGTTTTGCACGACGGCTGTGGCGGCGCTCTGGAGGGGAGGGCGGCCACTTTCGGGTGGTGGATGACCGGCTTTTGAGGTCTTGCAACCCTAGCTGTGACAGCTTCGGACAGCTCGCGCAACCCTAGGAACAGCGGGCCGGCTAGTGTTGATGCCACTCAGCCCGGGACAAGACGGGGGTGGTGGAGGTCCGAAATCACGCCGCTATGCCTCGGCTCCAGCGAGGCCTCCAGGCCCTAGCTCAGGTATATGCAGTGTAGCCGGAAGCAGGGAACACCCACCGGCACCGCCACCCCCCCAGCAGCACAGCACACCAGTCTTCTAGGGGTGGAGGCGGGCCCGCTGGTATCGTCGGGAAGGTCGAGGAGGGTGGGTGGATGAGCGAGGACCTGACGAGGCCTGTAAGAGCCGGCCCTGTATAATTTTTATGCAGAGCAAGAGTGTGCAAAAGATGAAAAATTTGTGGAAAACAGGCAAGAAACCAGCCGAAATGCGTCCAGATGCTGGAAATCACATAGGCCTATCGTTTCCCAATGCTCACGCCTTGTGGCGCGCCCGCGTGCGGCGCTCCGCCGCGCGCGCCACCTCTGGGCCGGCGGACGCGGACGCGTCAGGCGCGGCCGCACGGCCGCGACGGCGCGGCCGCTTTGGCGTGGGCACCGCTTGCTCTTGCGGCAGATCAACTTGGCCGGCACCAGCGCCGTCGAGCCCCACCTCCCACTCGGCGACGTGCTCCACCGCTCGCGACTCGCCCGCCGCCGCCTACAGCAAGGCTCCGAGATGCCTCTGGGACGGCTCTACCGGCTCCACACCCAGCGGCTCGCCGCCTTCTCGGCCGCCGCGGCGCGGGCCGACTTGATTGGCCGCTGCGTCGTCGCTGGCTTGACCGCCGGCTTGGCCGCGTGCGGCGGCGCGGGTGCGGCGGCTGCGTCAGCCCCTTGGAGGCGGTGCGCCTCGAGGCGGCTCACCAGCTCTGCCTTCTTGCCGCCGGCGTCGAGGCCTGCCGCCGTGAGCGCCTCGCGCAGCTCGGCCACCCGCAGCTTCGCAGGCTGGGCGAGTCGCGCCTCGAGGCTCTCGCCTGCACAGGAAGGCTCCAGGAGGCTTCAGGGAGGGCTCTAGCCGGCCTCGCAGGCCGCGCCGCGGGCCCTCGCCGGCGCAGTGCGAGTTAAACAGCTTGGGGGGCGCAGCCGCCTCGGCCTCCTCGGCGCGACTCGGGTCGAGCGGCTGGCACGCGGCGCACGCGTAGCACGTGCGCCCGGCCACGTCCCACGACGCGACGCGCCCGTTGCACCGGCCGCACTTTGCGCTGTTGTAGATCCAGCGGCGCAGGCCCGGCCTGCCGAGCGCCAGCGCCTCCGCCTTGTCCACGGTGAGGATCGATCCCTCCTCGTAGCCGCGCCGCATCAACTTGACGGACGCCGCCCACACCCGGTCGAACTCTGCGCGGCTCAGCGCCTTCCCGGGCGTGTTCGGGTGCACCGAAGCGACGAAGAGGATCTCGGCGCGGTAGATGTTGCCGACTCCTGCGAAGAAGCCTTGGTCCATCAGCAGCAGCCCAATGGTCTTCTTCGACCTGGAGACGCGTTCCCAGAGCGCCTCCGCATCGGCGTCCGCTCGGATGGGGTCCTCGCCCAGTTCCGCCCGCTTCTTCTCGAACATCTCGACGCCGCCGTGCTGCACGGTCATCGCCGAGAGGCTCGAGACGATGCCGTGGCCCTCGAGCTGCAGACGCGTCGTGTCCTTGGCAGGCGCAGCCTTGGCGGCGTCCTCGACCGACCATCGGCCGCTCATGCCGAAGTGGACGTGCATAACGACGTCAGGCTGGCCAGCAGCGGCGAAGAAGGCGAAGAGGTTCTTGCCGACAGCCTCGATCCTCGAGAAGCTGCGGCCGTTGATGAGCCTCGCGCCCTCGGCGAAGCGGCCATTGGGCGACGAGGCCTTGTACGAGCGGCCGCACAACCTGCGCGTGTGCTGTGTAGCGATGCGATGGACGCTGTGGCCCTCGACCATGCTGATCGCTTCCCGGAAAATTCCCATTCCCATTCACAGCCTTGTTATTGAGAAGAAAATACGTCCTATGGCGCTGTGCGCTGGTCTGTGAGAGGTTGAGGTGCGAGCCCTGGAGGCCCTGGGGATGGGGTGAGACTACCCGCGGGCCTAGAAGGCCCGCGCGCACAAAAACACAACCCCGGACCCTAGCTAGCCCGGACCCACCCAAGACGCACAAGCACAGACAGTCGAGAAGGGAGAGACCAGCAACGACAGTCAGAAGCCAGCGCTGGGTACCAGGAAGGCGAATGCGATGACGGCCTCTAGTGTGAGCTCTAGCTAGTGAGCTCATACGCAAGCAGGCAGATCGCGAATATACATACAGGATTACAGCTAGTTAGTTAGGAGCCGCCAGGCGGGCCGCCCGCCCACGCACCGCCTACGCGCAGCGCGTGCGCCGCAAACTCGCCCGCCGAGAGCGCCGGCCAGTCGCCATCGGCCGTCGCGAGAGGCCTGCCCGGCTGTCGGCGCGGGGCCCCCACGAACACCACGCGTCGGAGGCGGTGCCGCGCGAACTCGCGCGCAAAGTGCACGCCCCACGCCCGCCGCAGCGTCGTAGCGAAGTAGGACCGCGCCTCCCTCAAAGTTCCCATTCACGCTCCCGTTGAACGCAGCCGCTCTCGCAGGCGAGAATGGCTGGCTGCGCACCCATCGTATTGTGGCCAGTCGTCAGTGTCTTCTTAATTTTAAGCGTCTTACGTGATCAATAGACAATGTTCTTAAAACCCGAAAAGAAAGAACGTGGAGAGAAGAGGAGAGAGAGAGCCAGAGAGGGGGGGGGGGTGGAGAGAGAGCGAGGATCCGCCCGGCGTGCCCAACATCAGGCATGTACGGCACAGGCTCTCTCTCTTGGTGTGGCCATCACGCGAACGGGAGGAGGAAGACGTGGCGCACCGAGTCGCCGTGGCCTGTGGCCATCGCCGCCGCTATGCAGGCGATCTGAGGACCGGGCACGTTGAATGCCAACTCGAGCGCCTCCATCACGTGGTTGGGGCGGAAGAGGCCGTCCTCCAGCGGGTGCACAAACTTGTAGGGCCGGCTGGCGTCTTTTAGGCCGCGGAAGCGCTCCTTCTGGATGAGCGTCCCCACAAAGGCCTCAGACGCAGGGCCCATCACCAGGCCGAGCGCCATCTGGCCGGCAAAGGCGCGATCGACGTCCGAAAGGTCGGAGAGAGCCCCCGTGGCGGCGCCCGCAAAGTGGACGTACACGCCGAACGCCATCGCGCACCAGCCGAGGCTGATGGCCATTGCGAGCTTGACGACCGGCGGGGGAGGGAGCTGCAGGCGGAGGGATGTGACGGTCGGCACGATGTTCCACGGCTTCTGGTCGACAACAATGTCAACGCTCTGGGCCAACATCGACGCGACGATGAGTGCGTGGGTCAGATCCGCCGCCGGCAGCTCGCTTGGATCGAACACACTCGCGGCGACGATCAGGCAGAGCGTGGCCGTGCTGAGCATCGACGCGCTCATCTGCTTGGCATACGCGCTAAACATCCGAGACCGCGGCATCATCGGAAAACCGCTGATGGAGACGCCGACACCGGCGGCCATGGCCACGAGGACGGGCAAGTGCATGCCGTGCGCGAGTGCGACCGGATGGCCTGGGTCTGCGAGTTCCGAAGCGAGCGAGTCGAAAAGGAGGCCGTAGGCTGAGACGAACCAGGTGGCGCCGACGAGGGCGTGAACGTGTCCCTTGTCGGCCTTCGTGATCAGCTTGAAGTCGACGCCATCGTTGACTGCAGTGCCCCATGCCGGGAGCCGACGCGACACTGACGGAGAGAGGTCACCGTCGCGCTTGAAGTCGACGCCATCGTTGACTGCAGTGCCCCCGAGCCGACGCGACACTGACAGAGGGAGGTCACCGTCGCTTTCGACCGTGGCGCCGCTGGAGATGTCGCTCAAGAGTGCTTCGGAGCCATGAACAGCGTTGAGATGTGGAGGCGCGGGTGCGAGTGGGCCCGCGCGCTCGACGAGCGCACGCTGCGGGCGGACCACAACGGCGAGCGCAGCGGTGGCAAGGATAAACATCTTTCGTCGGGCTTTCGACAGGTCCTTGAGAAGACGGCCGGAGAGGGGAGAGCGTGATAAGCCGGATCCAGCTTAGCGTTTTTTTTATTTTTCTGAGACCATGTGCCTCTAGACATCCGTTCACGTGCACGAGCTTCTTGAGCCCCCCACCCAACCACCCACCTCACGGCGGCCCGGCTGAGGCTTGGAACCACCCACCCACCCACCCCACCCACCCACCTCACGGTGAGGAAACCCACCCACACCGACCGACCCCCACCCACCCACCACCCAACCAATCCTCCGGCCACGGGAGACACAAGCAAGGTAGCAAAGCACCCAGCCTCGCGCGCCTTATACAGCACACAGTCTGACCCACAGCCGAGGGGTTAGGGTTAGGGTTAGGGTTAGGGTCAGAGAGTTCAAGCCGTTGTGCAGCTCCTAAGAACGGGCCGCTTCGGGTCGGAATGGAGGAACCAGCGGTCCGTTGACGCGAGCTCTCGGTGAATGCTCCGAGAGTTCTTCGGGTTAGGGCAGGGTTAGTAGGGTTAGGGTTAGGGTTAGGGTTAGGGTTAGGGTTAGGGTTAGGGTTAGGGTTAGGGTTAGGGTTAGGGTTAGGGTTAGGGTTAGGTAGGTAGGTAGGTAGGTGTTACCTCACACGGTCTATTGCAGAGACAAGGAGGGCCCACAGCACACACACCAAGAGTACATGTGCTGCACTGGACATCAAAGGGCCAAGGGTTGGATCAAGCAGTGGGAAGGGACTCGAGGTGACGCGCGAGCAGAGACCTAACCTCCACACGCTCCGCACGGTTAGGGTTAGGGGTAGCTTGTCGTCGTCCCGCGCCGATAAGACAGAGACACGGGCAGCGACCCAATCGACGCACCAGAGCATGGTTGGGCGTGTGAGCCGCCATCTCTTGGACTGTGAGGGCCCCGCCCCTACACCGCCGCCGCCGCCCTCCCGAGGGCAGATAATAGCCCAAGTCGATGAGTGCGCCCTGCCCTCGGTATCTGGGTGGCAGGCGGGACTAGAGAGGCATGCTGGTGCACGGTTGGGGGCGCGAGCCGCCATCTTGGACCGCGAGGCGAGTATTTGCAACCGGGAGCTCGCCGCCGCCCCTACTCCACCGCCGCCGCCCTCCCGAGGGCTGGCGAGGTACTTCCAGCCTGCTGTGGGAACAGCTGACGCAGTCTCGCCGAGGCTCGCCCCAGCATCTCGGGTTGACTCGGCCAGACTAAAACCCCGAGAGGCGTGGGAGTACCTCGCCAGCCCGAGGGCAGATAATAGCCCAAGTCGATGAGTGCGCCCCGGCCTCGACATCTCGGCGGCGGCAGAGGAGAAGCGACGCACCAGAGCACGGCTGGGCGTGTGAGCAGCCGTGTTTGACTGTGAGGCGAATATTTGCCATCGGGAGCGCGCCGCCGAGCGCCGACTCTACACCGCCGCCGTCGCCCTCCCGAGGACAGGAGATAATTAATAACGGCCGCCTCGTCGTCGAGCTCGGCGGAGAGCCTCGAGCTGCTAGAGAGCGGCGTCGCACTCGTCGAGCGTAACAGCAGTCCGCCCTCGGATGACTTGTTGAGCGCGCCGTAAGCCGCCCGTAAGGCACGCAGCAGCCGTCGGGGAGCGCGATCTCGGTCAGCTGGTGCCCGTCGCGTGGGCACGGTGCGAGGAACGACATCTCATGCTGTGGCAACGACGAGAGCTGTGCCTCGAAGACGCGCGCGAAGGAAGGGGAGAGAGAAACGACCAAACCTCACCCACCCACCCACCCACCCACCACACAGTCGGAGTGCACGCACAGAGCTCACACGTCACAGTCACCACACCCCCACCCCCCCACCCCCACCCACTCACACCATCCGGGGGCGGGGCCTACGAAGCGTTTACCCACCCACCCACTTTTTCAAGAACGGATGTCAAGAGGCACGTGGTCTGAGAAAAAAGCAACGCGGACCCGTCCACGCCAACTGACTGTTTCTTCTTTCTCTGTACATCCCCGCCCCGCCTCTGGAATATTTCACTTTGCGAGGAACTCCTCGTACGCGCCCCCAAAGAGCAGGCCGACGTCGCGCTCGACGTCGGCCTCGCTCAGCAGCCAGCCCGCCTCGAGCAGCTTGCGGTACTGCGCGGCGAGCACCGGCGTCACCGCCTCGCGCGAGTGCGCCCACTTGTACACGAGCTGATCGAGCACCTGCGCGCGCAATAGCCGGCGGCGTGAGGGAGCGGGCGCAGTGCCGGAGGGTCGCGAGCTGCTGTCTCGCGCCCGCGCGTCCGAGTGTTGGCAGGTGAAGGCGGTGCCGAGCATTTCGAGCCGCATCCGCGTGGTGGTCTCGATGATGGAGGGGTTGTTGCAGAACCACCAACAGCCATAGACGTGCAGGTTCCCGAACTTGCGCGCGAGCACGCACAGCTCGTGCTGGTTCACCGCCGAGAGGACCGTCACCAGGAACTTGACCGACGGGTACCCCGCGCAGAGAGTCCGCAGCCAGTCGAGCCGCGACACCTGCCCGAGATCAGCCGAGATCAGCCGAGATCTCCCGAGATGGAGTGGGCTTGTGCAGAGCCGGCCGAGGCGGCGACACCTCGACGCCGTCGCCGCCAGCCTGCAGCGCCGGGTTCGCGCCGCGCACCGCGCCCACCTAAGGCCAACGCAAGGTGAGATTCTCCGCGCGCTAGTCTCGGGCCGGGGAGCATGCCCCCGCATCTCCACGTCCTGAGACGAGCAGAAGCCCCGCGGCGTCGCAAGCGCGCGGCCCGGTACACGCATGGGTGGGGTGAGTGTGCCGCACCTTGAGCGCCAGCGGGAGGCCCTCCTCCATCGCCACGCGCAGCAGCGCCCCTTCGAGCAGCTCCGCCTAATCTCGTGGCGATAGCGGGTCTATCTCGAGCCATCTCTGCGAGCAGCGCCCGCCGCGAGCAGCTCTGCCGCGCTCGGGAACGCGCCGCCAGAACCCTCCTGCCCGCCCCTCCCCTCCTCCGCCGCCGAGCCGCCGCCCGCCGGCGGCTGCTTGCGCACGGCCGCGGGGCCGGCTGCGGTCGGCGTGTACGTGAAGCCCGCCGGCGTCGACGCCATGAGGTAGATCGGGCGGATGCGCCGCACCCACTCCTTGAGGTAGGCGACGCAACCCTCCATGGAGAGTGGGTGCGGCGGCTAGGCGCGCCGCAAGGACGGAGCAGATGCCGCGCCAGTCCCCGACAAGCCTGGCAAGCGGGAGGAGGGGCGCTGAGCCGGAGGGACCAGCGGGCAGTCACCGCGAGTCGAGTGGCACTGCGCACATCGGGTCGACCCGCAGCGCCGTCTTGAGCCGCGGCGTCAGCGGCGGCTGCGGCGACGCCGTCCAGTGCTCCGCCTCCTCGGGCGCGAACGGGATGTTGGTCATGACTGTTGGCACCGCTGGTGTGTGAAGATGCGCCGTTCACAGGCTCGCGCCTCCGCTCCGCCGCGCCCGCGCCTGCATACTTGAGCTTGGACAGCCGGAAGACGCGCTCGAGGTGGTCCGACGCGTCTTGCGCGGCGAACCAGTCGCGCAGCGCGGTCAGTCGCGGCCGCGAGGGGAGCCGCACCGCCGCGCGAAGCTGCTCCCCGCGCCCGAGTCGGCTGAGCGTCGTCACCACGCCGCGGCACGCCTCGCTGAGCGGCGTCCGCTTCACAAATAGCTCCTCAAAGACGAGCTCCGCCTGCCGCGGCTTTGGCCAGCCGTAAAAGTCGTCCGGCGAGGGAGCTGTGTCGCCGACGGAGACGGAGTCCTCCTCAGAGACGCATGGCATCACCATGAACAGCTCGGCGACCAGATAGTGGTAGGTGAGGAGCTCGTCGATACCCCAAAGGAGGAGGTTGCCGTGTGTCGGCGGGAGGAGGTGCGTGTGCACGTCGATCGCCTCGACGTCGCGCACACAGCGCGCGACCACCGCGTCAACGGCGTCAATGCCTAGGAGTTTGGCCATGTGACGGGCGGCGATGCAGCGGGGGCCCGACAGCCGCGCCATTTCTTTTCTCCTTCTACCAAGAAAATGAGTGGAATCAACCCTACCACAGAAGGGGCATAGACGGCTCAAAAGACAGTGATCTCAACAATAGTCGAAGTCGGACAAAATTCCATAATCTTCATAAAAGAAGAAGAAAAGCGAGGGAAGGGAGGACGGCACGCCGCCACCACACACAGGGATTTGTGTGTGGAATTCTTCATAGACCTAGGTTTTAATTCTTCTCCTTGGCGATGATGGAAGAAACCGCTCTGCGGCTCTTCGACTTTCGTGCCTGGCGCAACGGCTGGCTGGAGACGTTTCTGGCTCGGATCTCGTTCTTGGAGCAAGCGTGGCAACAGCAGGGTTTTGCCATTATTTTGTGCGTGCTCGCCGGCAGCGGCACTACGTCCAAAGATTGTGGTTTGTGCGGGATTTTGCGAGCGACTCATGGGCGACCCTAGGCGGAAAGGGGGTCGGTCGGTCGGTTCCGCGCAGTGTCTCGACTCTGTCTGGAGTCCGGGAAGTCGGTCGCGGTCCGGGTCGGGCGTCGGGGTCGCCTTCATTCACACCGCACAGACCACAGTGCGCGACTTGGGTCGGCGACTTGGTAAAGCTGAGGTGATGCACGTGTGGGGGGCGTGTGGCGGGGAGCGCCGCGCGATCCGCCCGCCCGCCGCGCGGCTGCGACCTGCGTGCGCCGCCTGTGGATGGCGCGCGCGTTGTGGCGGCGTTGAGGACACACAGCAAGCTCATCGGAAAACGGGTAGCAGGCAGGCACAACGAGCAACGAGGCGCGAAAGTCCCAATTTTCGCGCCTTTTCCGAGGCAACCGGGAAAACAAAAGGGAGCCCGGTCCTGCGCAAAACCGACACACCTGCACTGCGATCCGCTTCTCCACCGCCAGCGGCTGGCTTTTCTTCTTCGGGTATGCCGGGTCTGGGATCTGGGTGGCAGACGAGATACCAACCACAGCGCTGTCCGTCTGCATGCAGCTCTCAGTCGCGAACTCTGCTGTCGCGAATGCACGAAAGAGTTGACGCGGAACAGACGGGGGTGCTGCGGGGGTGTACACGTGCTGAACTCGCTGTCGATCCGGGCGTAAAAAAGAAACGCAGACCGCCAGCCAGCTGGTCTCTCTCTTCGGAGCATCGATCACTGCCAGGGCGCCCTCATCACATTACACAAACCCCTCCAATGGTCGCCTCTCCCCACCCGAGGGTGCTGACGGTGAGCGTCTCGGGCGCCTCGCCGTCGTGGCTGTGCACCGCCTGCAGCCATATCAACTCGACGCTATACCTACAACTCCAGGGTAAGGAACGAAACTCGTCCGTCCCACTGGCAATGCCCACATGTCCATGTCTACCTCCTCCAATCGTGTGGCATGCCCGCAGCCACATGAACTTGACGCAGAGCCGACGGGGCCCGGCCGGCGCACCCTTTTGAGGGAACTTGCCTCGCTATCGCAGTTCTCGCAGGGACTTCAAACCAGAAACGACCAACTCTCGGAGCAGCGGCGTGCCGACCAGGCACGGCCCTTAGTCTCATCGGCACACCCGGTTCCTACTCAGGCGCTTCCGACGCCACTCAGGCGCTGCTAGCGGAGAGCGCGGCGCGGCACCAGCACGATCGCCGCTTGCTGGCGGAGAGTGCGGCGCAGCATCATCGTGACGTGGATCGGCTCAGGCAGCGCGGCACCATGTACGGCGTCGAGCTGATCTTGCTCGCGCTTGCAAAAGTAACTCGCTATATCGCGCTCCTGGTACTGTGGAGCGGCCGCTCCCTCGCTCGGGCGGGGATCGCCCTCCTCGCCGTCGCCCTCGCCGCGCTCCCCGTCCAGATGAGTGCTGACGACCTCTTTGAGATTGCCGTGATGGCCTTTGACCCTTTGACGTGCGCTCCCGCCCCTCCGTGATTTAGCACCGCCCACGTGCAAAGTGTTAGTGCGCAGACGGGCTGCGCTTGTCACCCCTCACCCGCTGCCAATCGCGCGCAGGCGCGTTGAGCTCGTTGAGTCAGGCCTAAGAGCAATCGGGGTGGACAGACTCCTCGCTCCCAGGCCGTTGGCCGCCCTTGTCAGATGCAGCACCGCAAGTGGGTTGGCTGGCGAGCTGCTGCAGGTAAGCTCTATCTCCCGACCTCCCAGCCCATAGGCGCCAGGGAGCCACGATATCCTGACATCGGCACCTGCAGGCAACGACCGTCTTTGGCTGCGCCCTGCACCAGGCCGGCTCCGCTGTCTTCATGTCACGACGTTGGGGCCAAACAACAGAATTACGCGATGCGCCCTCCGCTATGAAGCTTGCATCTCCTCGGCAGGGCGCTGCGCTGATGTCTTCCCAGCAACCCCAGAGTTTCCGTGCTGATGGCTGAGCGCGGAAGGCGCGTCGGGAGAGTCGAGAGAAAAGAGAAGAGATACAGATATAGGTTCACAAGATTCAAATCAGGCGGCAATGGGGCTGGCAGGGCTCGCAACCGTAGGCCTTAATAGAAGCGCCGGAGAGCCCTCATTTCCGACTGACACAGTGCAGGGCCACCCACACATCGTCTGAGCCACATGAGAGAGAGGATAGAGAGTAGGTGCTAGGTCGTCCCGCAGCGCGCGCTTTAAGTGACCAGTTAAGTGACATGTGAGTCGGGGTACAGGGTGCTGACGCTCGGCTGACACAGACAGGCCTGTGACGTGTGTGTGTCCCCGCTGGCGCGCGGCGATATCTGCCCCGACGCGGATATCGCGCCACATCGTCTGTGAGTAATGCTGCCGACACACACACACACGTGTAAAAAACACAAACGAACGCACGACTTTCCTGACCTCGTAACGTCGTGGGTCGTGAGCCTCGTGAGAGTCGGACACCAAAGCGATAAAGCGAAATGAGCTATGGACTATATGGACTATGGTGGTTGCAGCTAGGGCTGCAGGGGTTATTGCAGCGGGAATGTGTGCACACTGCAGCACACGCGCTCGCTCGAGCGCGCAAAAGCAGAAGCACGGAAAGGACAAAGGTGTGCCGCGAGAGACACACAGCTAAAGCAAGCACTCATGTGACAGAGAGGGCCCGAGCTTCGCTGCCACACGAGAAAGTGAGACTTCGCCCATCTCTCAGATCTCTCTTGTGTCACAGAGTTAAGTGAGAATCCAGGAACCAAAAGCAGAATGCGTCCATTTTCGTGTGGGAAGCGGCGCAGCGTCCGCCCAGCTGTGGCATGTGGGTTATTTGTCAAATGATTCCTGAGAATTAACTCCCTCGTTATGCGGTGTAATAGCAGCACCGGTGGCGCCGGGGGCCCGGGGGGGGCGGGGCGCTCTAGCCCAAGGCCAGCTCTCAACTAAGAAAGCTACACCGGCGCAACATGAACAACAGTCTCAAGCGTTCTCCCACAGACGAAAACTCTCCTCGGACAGGCCCAAAACAAGCAAGCTCACCTCCACAACCGAGAGGCGACAATGACAGGCAAAACCCAAAAGGTCTCACAGTCACACCCGTGGAGGGGACCGCGGCGCCCGGTTCGACCTACGCCAATACCGGACGGGCGCGCGTGCTCCCGCCTCAGCGGCTCTGCACACAAGTCACTTGTGTGCGGCCATCAGTTGACCGTTTGCGGCAGGGGCCGGCTATCGCAGGGCGGCGGCCCCTGCGCCCTGGCTCTCACATTCCTCGCTTCAATACACGGCATTCATACACCCGGCCACGCCCTCGCTCGCTCGCGGCGGCGTGGGGTCAGAAGGCCCGCCGCGACGAGGAGCGGGTCACGGCGCGCCGCCCGACGCGGCCCTTTGCCTCCTTGAGGGGCGTCGCGGGCTCGGCGGAGGCGGACGAGGTTGCGATGAGTTGCAGCATCGGGCGGGCGCCCTGCAGGCGGAGGGGAGAGGGGGAGGGGGGGGGTTGGGGTGGAGGGGGCGAAGGGCAAAAGGGGGAAGCATAGGGGACGGAGTGATGAGGGCAGAGGTTGGCAAAAAGGCCCAAAGGCTTGGGGGGGTGAGGGGGGGGGGGGGG